ATACAGTAACAGTGGGTGACTTCAGTACCCTACTCTCACCAATAGCCGGGTCAGCATCTAGACAAAAACAGAAATATCTGAATTAAATGACATTATATGTCAAATGGACCTAACAGACATACAGAACACCTTTTAAACACTGAAGAAAACAGTCTTCTCAGCAGCTATAAAATAAATAATACATTGATGATAAAGACCAAGTCTTAATATAGGATAGATGAAGATGCAAAAAACTACACATTGGAGAAAAACAGACAAACAGCCTCTTCAACAAACGGTGGGAAAATTGGATGTCCACATGCAGAAGAATGAAATTAAACCCCAAACTCTCATCCTGTATAAAATCATTTCCTGGGGTTGGAGAGATGGTTCAGCCATTAAGAGCACCTGAATTTCTTGCAGAAGACACAGGTTAGGTTCCCAGAACCCACCTGGTCGCTCTCAACTATATTCATAGGCATGTGGATACACTCACGCATGTGCACACATGCATACAGACATACAGACACAGACAGACAGACACACACACATGCAAAGCGCTCATACACGTAAAGTAATTAATGGGAAAAATGAGGCAATTTTAAGTAGATCAAAGACTTTAATGTAAGATCTGAAACTCTGAAATTGTTAAAGGAAAAAGTAAGAGGAAATATTTCAAGGTATAGGTGCAGGCAAGGATTTTACAGAGAGGCGTCTAGTCAGTGTCTATACGTAACAGTAGGACTGCACAGAAGAAAAGAGTGTCTTCACAGCGATGGAAACAGCAAAGACACAGCACACAGACTGGGAGAAGATCTTCTCCAGGTATACACGCTGTCTCAGTCACTGTTCTGCTGCTGTAAGGAGACACAGTGACCAGGGCAACTCCTATAAAGAAAGCATTTAACTGGGGGCTTGCTTACAGTTTCAAAGGTTTAGTCCATTGTCATTATGGATGGGAGCATGGTGGCATATATACTTGGCTCTGGAGTAGCAGCTGAGAGCTACACCTGATCTCCAAGCAGACAGAAGACAGACAGACAGACAGGGAGAGGGAGAGACTGGGCCTGGCATAGGCTTTGGAAACCTCAAAGGCCACCCCTGTGATACACTTCCTCTAACAAGGCCACACCTCCTAATCCTTCCAAACAGTGCCACTCCCTGGTGACTAAGCATTCCAATATGTGAGCCTATGGGGGCCATTCTTACTCAAACCATCACACAGCTCTGTTAGTCACTCTTTATTGTCCTGAGAAAACACCATACCCAGGTAATTTACAGAAGGAAGAGTTTATTTGGATTTAACGCTTCCAGAGGACTCAGAGTTCACATGGCAGTGAGACGTAAGTAGCATGTGGCAGGCACGGAGGCAGGAACAGTTAAGAGTTCACAACTTGAACCGCAGGTAGGAAGTAGAGCAGAAACTGGGAATGGAGTGACGCTTTGATACCTAAGTCCCTCTGTCTCCACGGTTGGTCATATTTCCTCCAGCAAGCCACAAATCCTGAACCGCCCCAAACAGTGCTACTAGCTGAGAACCAAATGCCTGAGACTAGGGAAAATTGTCATTCAAACCACAACACCCGCTGTGTGACTGCCTGGTGGACAAATACCTATTTACTCCAGACAGGGCACTGTTGGCACACCAAGAGGGATGATTGTGCCCATGTCCAGCTTACTGATCAGCAGGGGGTTACTTACAGCATGAAGGACTCAAAGACAGCCGCATAGTGAAAAGGACAGAGAGCATGGAGTTCCCTGAACAATTTGCAGCTCCTCCTCAGCAACTGTTACAGCTTGTCCAACCCTGGGGCTTGGGGAGGAGTCTCTCAAATCTCACAGCTTTCAGGAGCTTCCTGAAGTCGGGAGATGTTATTGACTTCCTAAGTGTTACCAGCCTTCGGCCCTCCTGGTAGGGCAAGCTTTGATTCAGAGAAATAGTACACAGCATCACCTGATGGAGAATTAATGTCTGGAACATTGAAAGAACTCAAATAGTTAAACTAGAAATCGGTCAACTCTACGGATAAATGTGCTAACAAAATGAACAGGAAGTCCCCCAAAGATTACATACAAATAGCCAATATGAAAATGTTCAACCTCACTAGACATTAGAGAAGTGGCAGTTTAAAACAAACTAACACTACATCTCCTCCTAGTCAGAATTGCAGGCTTAACTCCTAGCAAGGAGAGGCAGAGGCACAAAGTTAAAAAAATTATATATATAAAATATTTAAATGACTGGATTCCCAAACAACTCACAAAGCCCTCTCTTTCAGCCACAAACAGCTATTTGCTCTGAAATACATAATACTACTGAAGTGCAAATACAACAAAATTGAAAATATTTTTATTTTTATAATTATTTTGAAATAAGCTCAAATCTAAATAAAAGCTTCAAGAATGGTACAAAGAATTTTAATCAAGTGGGAAGCCACACTTGAGTTTTGATCATCACTCCATTTATGTCATGACACTGAACGGGAAAACGTCTCCGTCTCCGATCATGTATTGCATGCAGTTGTCATGGTTTTTGGCTTTCTAGATCTGGAGTATTCGTCTTTCCTGTCTTTTGTTACATCAAAGAAAGTCCTTACGGGGCAGCCATTTACAGAATGCCATTCGGTTTAGGTCTGGTTAACATTGCCTCAGGACCAGACCCAGAGTGTGCATTTTGGCAGGAATGCTGTGCTGTTTTCAAAGGCAGTACAAGATGTTCATTTGTCCCATGACTGGTGGCAGGACTTTGGTCCCTCAATGACAAATATGGTATCTGCCATGTTTTTGAGTGTAATTTTTTTTTAATGTTTGACAATGTTTTGAAGACACTTGGAGACGATGTAAATCATCCTATACTGACACCGGGGTTTTGAAGACACTTGGAGATGATGTAAATCATCCTATACTGATACCCTACTTGACCCATTAGTTTGAGCATGACTGATATTTATTACCCAACATATTAGAACAATAGTTATCTAACAGCAATTTTTAAACTCCATTTGCAGGTAGTGGATGATATTCAATTGTAAGGAATATCTTTCTCTCCTTCACATTTATTTATATCAGTATGAACTCATGGGTTCCTATTTTATTCAGTTATTATGTTTCGTGGTTAAATTATCCCTCACTTGGCCTGTGCACACTCTTTCAAGCTGTTTCTAAGTGCTTTTTGACACGTAGCATCTTTCTTTGAATACTTTCTGATACAGAGTATATTCTGGAATTGGAACCAGTGTTCTCTTCAAGATGCTCCAGCACATTTAGCAGGGAAGAATATTTGGAAATCAAAATCCAGTGCTAGCTGTGTTGACGGTTGTGTGTGCATCTTTCTAGTCTTTCCAGTGTTCAGAACCAGGAAATAGTTATGTACAACATGCACACATCCTTTCACTATATATACATATATATGTATATATGATGCATATTTATGTGTATCTATGTATATAACTATTTATATAGATACAATTATATATATATGTGCACAAACATACACAGTTCACACTAATAACTCCAATTCTAATTGACATTGCCAGGCTTGTCTTACCTTTTCTTCTTTAAGAAGATTTATTATTTTTAATTGAGAAATAGTAATTATATATTGATAGGGAATAATTTGATAGTTTTGTACATATATGCATTATGGAATGATGAAACAAGGCTGTTTATCATGGTCATCCCCTCAACTATCTATCTTTGTGGTGAAACATTTAAAAATTCTCTCCTTTACCCATTTTGAAACATTAAAAATTATGAACTTCAGTTATCCATACAAAGCACCACTGAAATTTATAGCTTTTCTAGTTTCCTCTTTTAATTGTATACCCTTCTACAATTTCCATAAGTGGGAAACTTGGCTCCCATGTCCTCAGTGAATTTCTTTGGATGCTCAATTCCTTGAATTGAGCCACTCTCCTAAGCCAGATGGGTTGCCTTCTGCCCTGCTCCAAAGAAGACCTCAAATCCCATGGTCACTGGCCACCTAAGTCTCACCTGTCACCCCTCACTCCAGCTCCATTTTTCCGTGGTCTGCTCCTCTCGCCCTATCTAGTGAGGTCAGCTTGAATGTGAGGCCCCACTGTGCATCTATTCCAGTAGAGTGAATGGAGGGCAAGACTTGAGGAAGGAAATGGGTAAGGGGAGGGAGAGAGGGTGACACAAGGAATGAGAGGGAGGAAGGATACAGCAGAGAATGCAGAATGCAGGTTTGTGGGCTTGGGTCGTTGCAATTGGAAGATGAGAAAAACTGGTCCTCCCGAGAAAAATATGAAATAGAAATTAGCATTTATGTTTTAAAGGATCTATATATTTGTCTTTACTCAAAATTATTTTTTAGCCTAGGGCTAGTTGTTATTTTTTCAATTTTATATAGATCCAACTGTAGGTGAAAACTTGTGGTGGTGGATGAATTTTCCTAAGATAATTAAACCTTGGAAGAATAAGGTTAGCTGGTTTAGGCCTCCAGTATACATCTAAAGAAAATGCCTGAAGGGGGATTAACTATGCTGATGAAAGCCAAACAAATCCGACTAGTTCATCTGGGGTTGAGGGATGCCGATGATGACCACTAGATGGTAGTATAAACTCACAACAAATTCATTCTGCTTGAGCTGAAAAAGGAGGAAGTCAAGGCCAGTGTGAGTTTCTAAGTCCTTGAGCCACAACAGTGTCTTAGGGGCACTACGAATAAATTTCATTTTACTTTCATTCCATCGTAAGTATTATTCAATCAGTAGCCTTGCAAGTTGTCTTTACACTTTTCACTAAAATGTGACATATATCCCCAATTTGATAGAAATTTTGAATGGATATCTCTAACACTTTCAATCAATTAATTGTAATGGAATCTATACATTTTGGAAACTGGAATCTTGTTTCCTTTTCTGCTCAAATAAATATGTTCTCCCATCCCCTCCATGTCTTTAAAAACATTCATTCTTGGTAAAACCACAGTTCACAGTTTGCAAATGAGGCTTTACCTCTGTATATTTAATCTTGACATCATGACATAAGAGAGCATCTATGTACAAACATATACAATTTTATTGATATCTCTACAGACTACAAGAATTTTAGGTATAGTCACAATTGCTGAATGCAACAGAAAAATAGTAATTTGTCATTTTTTGAAAAGATGCAAAAATTCTGAAGATGAAAGAAAGATACATCAATGGTGTTGTCTGTCTCTTATTTCCTAGAATAAAACATCACATAATTAAGTACTAAAAATTATAGGTTATTAGAGATTTTGATCCTGTGTACAACTATCCAAAAACCACCACCTAGTGTATCTTCTGGCTTTGCAGTTGAGAAGGGTGGGCCAAGTCAGGAGGGGAAGTGGCAGGAGGGACAGAAGTCTCAATGTTTTCTGTGTGTCGGTGCCTCCCATTGGCTGGGCTATTCCTTTCTGGGGGTATAAGCACTTTTTCAGAGCCCTGGTGTTCAGATGGTGATCTTCCCTTTACCCACATACCCAGTAAATTAGAGAACAGATTCAAGTGGCCCTGGGAGATGTTGAGACAACAACCACACACTTCTCCGTTTGCTGAATCAGGTCCAGTAGGACACCCGCAGGAGAGCAGGGATCACTCGCCATGTCTGTTCCAGCAAGAGGGTGCATGAAAAACTTGGAGCTGATATAGTAAGTAATTACTTTGAGAATTTACATTTTCCAGCTATTGAGAATTAATTTTCTATACTGCTGAACTTATGGTGCTATTTCTGGTACCTTATGTAAAAGGCAGCTCAAACTTACAACTTTGACTCAAATAACTCAAGATCAAATCACACAGAATATTCTAGAGTTACAAAGAATCAGTGGAGCTGCCTGATTAGAAATGTGCACTCACTTTGTTCTGTGAGAGGCTGCATCTCTTACCTTCTGCCTTCCCTGCTCCCTTAGAAGTGGCTAAGATATCAGCTCAGGAAGACAAGAAAAATCTTTCTTAGTCATAAAGCAGCAGTGCTTAGCAACTTTGGCTGGACATAGACCCACTTTTAGGACTTTCAAAAATGCTGATGTTCTGTTTCCAGTCTAAGACTTTTTGAAATCATTGGGAATTTAAAAATCTCAAGTGATTGTTATGCACAGTCAAGGCTTCACTTAAAAGGATACACACCAAAAGATACTAGCCGAAAGAAGATACAAACCCAGGCATTTGCCTGGGCTCTGGTTGCATCAAAACCTCATTTTCCTCAGACTCTCATACCCTTCCCCACACCCACACTCCCCACACCACACTGCACCTTCACCCCCATGTCCAGAGGAGACCTTACCTATTTCTTCCAGCCAGGGCTATGTGGTCTGTAGATAGGAATACTAAACTTCCGAGCAGCCATGCTTCCTAGAATTTTGCACATGAGCGACAAGGCTCAGCCTAAGTTGGTGACAGTTAGCTCAGAAACTCTGAGCAGTGTGCATACACCAGGCTACCACCTAAGATGGGGCTGAGTGACAGCAGGCGAAGCTGGGGAGTGGGTGCTTTTCCTACCACACAGCGAGCAAGACTGGCTCTGACGTGCTGGCTTTGTGACTGCTCCCTGTGAACCAGTGTGGTCAGGGGGCAGTGGTGGCACCCTCCCCCAAAGAAGCTTGTGATACAAAGACTAATCGTTTTCCTCTCCAGGCTAGCTTCATTGTATACTCTGTCCAAATGCCTGACCGCTAAATATCTCAAAGAACCTATCTTCATTTTCAACCAATCTTGGGCCTAATCTTACTCTTTATTTTTTCAAACTGGCACAGATAATGGGTAAATGATACCTTTAAAATGGCATTGGTGGGTCATATAAAAGGGAACCGTATCCTTTAAGGTCTCTTTAAATTTTTTAGGGTTAGAGACCTAGATTTTATTGAGAATCAATTCCAAGAGATTTGAGAAATGTTTCTATGACGGAATTGCTGGAAAAGATCTCAGTTTTGTCCTTGACGCTGAAGTCACACAACACACAATGGCTCCCATGGTGACTGAGTGCTAAGCCTGGGACTCAGTGAAGTGTAGAAGCAAAGTCAGATGTACTTATTAAAATAAGTGATAAGTCAATCACCCTCTACCCAAACCGCAGGACAAATGGATGGTTTCACGGTAGGACCATTGCTTACATTACTGTTAGAACCAGGGAAACACACACGTCTTCTTTTCTATTATTGGTGACTAGAATGATAGGTCTGCTTTCCGCTGGAACACTAAGAAGGGCTTTTCTGTTGAGGAAAAAAATCGGGAGGTAAAGTCACCTTGTGCACATGGTGCTTTGCAAGTCTTATACTCTGATGCCACTTAGTAGATACAATGCAATTTGATGGTAACCAAGACTTGGGGGCACCTTCTGTAGCATGATTAAAGTTTCTGGGGGTGGTTTTTCTTATGGTCCAAGACAGAAGAGAGATGAGAAAATGCAAAAGATTCCATGTATAACATGACTCATTTCCCTAAGATAGCAATGACGACGAAGTATTGGTGGTGGTAGTGGTGGTGAGTGAGTGAGTGAGAGTGTGAGAGTGTGAGAGTGTGAGAGTGTGAGTGTGTGTGTGTGTGTGTGTGTGTGTGTGTGTGTGTGTGTGTGTGTGTGTGTGTGTTAAGGTTAATGCAACAGAACAGAAATGCTCAGAGAGGAAAAATCACACCCATGGTTAAATTGTTATTGCTATCTCTTTGAATTATAAAAATAATTTTGATACAGTAAAACCTCATTAATTTGGATTCTGCTAATCACTGATTTGTGGGATAAGTTACCCTTATATTATGAAAGGGCTTGGCAAACAATTTTATAAGCACATCTAAGCTTTAAACATTTATGAGACCTTGTTCTTTGCAAGCATGGCAGAAGCACCTACTCCAAATGATGTCTATCTATACAGTTTTAGATGTGTTTGCTGAAGCCAGAATTTTAAGCATGCCTATCATAAAGTGTGCATGTCCTTTTTTGATATATTCTCTGTGTGCTTTGAAATAGGCTGTAATTGTTCACTGATTCTTCAAAATTGAGCTCTATTGTATGTGAATTACACATAATTTTAGGTGGGACTTCTCTTGCTAATACAATGTGCTCTTATTGTATGCTGTTTTCTGTAAAAACATACATTATATATTTCATAGTCTTTCTCTTTAAATGATGTAAAATAGTAGCTCTCAAATGAAAGCGATTTTGTCAATTTTTTTTAATTGTCATTACTAGCAGGTTTCTAATGGCATCAAAAGGGCAGAAGCCAAGGGCATTGTTAACATCCCACAATATGCTAGAGAAAAATTAGAGCTAATGATGCTATTGAGAACTCTTGCTATAGAACGTGTGTGTGTGTGTGTGTGTGTGTGTGTGTGTGTGTGTGTGTGTGTGTATGTGTGTGTTATTGGGGATTGAACAGAGTTCTGAACAAGGTGGCCAAGCACTCTACCCTGAGCTATATCTCTAAAACAAGTCAAATATTCCTGGGAGTTTCAGAGATAGTCACTAAATTCAATGCTACTTTGGGTTGAGTTTCACTATTTCAAAACAAAAGAAACATCATTCTTTTTGGTAATTTTAAAATGTAGAAATGTTAAAGTATCCAGAGAACTCAGAAACTTGGTGTCCTTAAAGCAGATAGTATAAATTGTGTGCTGCAATTTGGCTGCCAATGTTTTCAAGGTCCTGGCCTTAAATTTCATTAACATTTTTACTATATAAATGTGTGTATTGTCTGTATTTCCAAGCCAAGTTCTCTTATGCTAACACTATTGCAGGAGGTGGATTTATGGAGAGATGTTTTTAAGAAACCAGAATGCGCCGGGCGGTGGTGGTGCACGCCTTTAATCCCAGCACTCGGGAGGCAGAGCCAGGCGGATCTCTGTGAGTTCGAGGTCAGCCTGGGCTACAGAGTGAGTTCCAGGAAAGGTGTAAAGCTACACAGAGAAACCCTGTCTCAAAAAACCAAAAAAAAAAAAAAAAAAAAAAAAAAAAAGAAACCAGAATGCCAAGCTTCTGAGAAATGCTACTCTGGTGAGCATTTTCTAGCTCTTTTAATCCTCTGCTCTCTTTTCAAAATTACTGAGAAAAATTTAAAGAAAGCACCACTTCAAACAAAAAATATAAAACCAATGAAAATGGTAATTTTGTATATGAAGTTGGACTTAAGGAAATGGTGATATTTTAAACACCAATGTAAACCCAGCAAGGCCTCAAACCACCAAAAGTCAGTAAACAAATCAATCACATAATTCAAGATTTTAAAAACAGGAACAACATACTATCAAGTGAATCTTAAGATTCTGACTTCCAAGCATGTTCAATAGAGCGAGTAGGAGTCATACTTATTTTCTTTGTAGTGCTTCTCTGCTGGGTTATGACAGATAATTTTATCATGATAGAGCTGGTCTTTACTTTTTAGAGTTTTTAAGAAGGTGTTTGGTATTTACTGACACATTCCTGTGACTTATATCTGTCAATCTAATTAGTGACAAAATTATTGATTGTGTATCATTAAATTATCTATGGATTTGTGTTATTCATAATGATGGCTGTGGCCAACATAGTTGAAACACCACTAGGTTTCATAAAGGTTCCCATTAATAAGTGTTGAACCCCAAAGTGTTTTCTAATGAAAGCCCTTATGAATCAGAAATGTCGTAACTCAGAATCTCTTTCCCGAAACATTAACTGAGGTTTTACTGAATCACCCCGACGACGAGGATGACCAGTTTGGTCTGTGAATGCCAGGCTGCACCAGCACCTTGGGATTGTAGACCCTATTGGGTTTGAACAGTAATATACTGTGTAACTGGCAGATAAGGATACAAATGGTGCTTTAAAAATATATCGCTTTGGAAACTGAAATTGGGGTATGTGAAATTCCACTCTTTGTGAAATCAGTTCTCCAGACTAACTGCATTGTTCCTATAGTCTAGTTTCTGCAAACTTATTGCCAACTCCTTTGTAGAATATAAACCAGGCTGAAAAAATGCTCGGAGGTGATTCAACCCTGCTCGGTTGATGACTAACACCAGGAATTCATCCTGGAGGGGACAGAAATAGAAATGAAAGTGTTGGGAACACTTCCCTAGACTGGCAATACTTGATTAGGAATGAGAGCTGGAAATGATGTGAACGACTATGGAGAGAGAAAAATGTTAATCAGATTCTTGCTTATAAGAATTCAGTAAGGTCCTAGTACACTAAGGAAAGTTTCAGATGAGAAGAAATTCTGGGTTTGTTTTGATTCCTTTTCAGTTGGGTATGGCAGATACACTTGAAATGCACTGATATCTTCTAATGCAGATTTTAAAATTGTTGGGTGTGGCCCAATTCATAAAAGTAGTTTACCATAAATCCTTTTTTCTTCTGTTATAACATGCTTTTGTTTCTTTTCCTCTTAAGATGTTAATTTATCATGCAAAGATTTTTTTCATTAAGTGCATTAATGCTTTTGTTTGTACAGGAAATTTCAAATCAAAAGGACTCTCCAATAGTTTCCAAACACAAATTCTTAGCAAATTACATGCCAAGATGATAACATCCATTCCACATGGGGAAAAGACAGATTCAGCCATTGTCTTGGGATTTTGTTTTTTTTTTTTTTGTTTTTTTTTTTTTTTTGGTTTTTCGAGACAGGGTTTCTCTGTGCAGCTTTGCGCCTTTCCTGGGACTCACTTGGTAGCCCAGGCTGGCCTCGAACTCACAGAGATCCGCCTGGCTCTGCCTCCCGAGTGCTGGGATTAAAGGCGTGCGCCACCACCGCCCGGCTTGTCTTGGGATTTTAATCGGGGTTCCAGCTTTCGTGTGTACAGCGGCTTTGCCTTTGATACGCCTCCTTATGATAACTTCAGATGGACTATAATGGAACATTTTGGAGAAGAAACTGGTTTCTAGCAGTTGAATAGTGATGCTGGGAATAAATTTGGTTTCCCTGAATAACGGTTCTCAAAGCAGTCACAGCTCCTTTAGATGGTTAGAACTGGTACCATTTCTTATCCTTGTATTTCAGCATCAACTGGAAAGAGAAATAGAACAATCAAGAGATGCTGCAAAATCTTAAAACTGCTATTCAGCAAATCAGTACTGAGCTAATCATGGACATTTAGTGAAGTCTCAAAACGTAATAAAACTGTATGGCCTCTCACGTTGTGGAGCAAAGTGCCTGTGAGACGGGCTTAGAAACAAATAAGCTGTGAGGACTTAGCTGACGGGAAATGCTGTTTAATGACAGACAAATGAAAGATGGGAATTCGCGCCTCTACTGGTCCTCACTCAATGGGGATTCATAAAATCTTCCTATGCACCGTTCAAGCAGGTGGTACAAAATACAGACCTACTCTTTCAGAATGAATCAATACGTTATGCCCCAAGTTAAAGAAGCCTCAACTTAATGTAGGTTTTTTAAAATCTCCCTGAGTGGGGCGACTGCAGTACTTCAGGGATTCAGGTCCCATGGCCGCTCTGCTTATGCTTCCAGGGGCCGCATTCTGAAGATGCCTGTGTTTACTTGGGCAGCTCACCTCGTGTGCATGCTTGGAAAAGGCTTCTGCACTGGTCATCATGCCTGCCGTCTTCTCTTCCAGCTCACCCAGCCTCTGTCCTCTCTCATCAAGTGCGATTCGGGCTCGGGTCAGCTCTCCCATCACCCCTCCAGCAGCGCCCTTCACCCCTTCTATACTCCCTGGTCCAGGGATGTGCTGAGCGAGGCTGCGGGATGCTTTGCCTGCTGTAGCTTCCCCAACTGAGAATTTAAGCCACAGAAATGTAAAACATGTCAGTAATTCATAGTCAAGACAGTCACCAAGGAAAAAATATTTTTATACATTTCTACTACTGTCACGATTTTCATTCAAAGGGTGGCATTATTTGGTCTTGTCACATATATGTGTATGTGTTAAAGATATGAGTACTTAAGACATCATATGTCTGGGTGTGTACATGGCATGTATACGGGACTACATTTCCAATGTATTTATGTGTTCATGTGTTTGTGTATATATGCACGTGTGATTCTGGAGGTCAGAGGTTAACCTCAGGTGCTATTCCTCAGGTGCTGTCCACCATTTTTTTCCCTAAAAAATTGATTGACTATGGTGTGTGTGTGTGTGTGTGTGTGTGTGTGTGTGTGTGTGTGTGTATTATGGAGGTGGGCTTAGTACATGCCGCTGTACAATTTTGAAGCCAGAAAACAACCTAGGGGAATTGGATCTTTCCATCTACCATGTGGGTCCAAGGATCTGAACCCAAATTAGTAGGTTTGGTGGCAAATGTCAGCGCTGGCTGAGCCATCTTGCTGGCCACATCTTGGTTTTTGAGATGGGGTCTCTTACTTGGCCTGGCATTCACTACATCAGCTAGGCTGGCTAGCCAGGGAGCCCTCGTCTCTGTGATCTGGGCAGTGATCTGCCTAGCTCTACTTTCCCATCATTGAGATGGTAAGTACATACCACCTGACCTCGCTTTCTTCCGTGGATCCTAGGCATGGATCCTAATGCATACAAGTGAAGCACTTTACTGAAAGATTTCGCTCTCTTGTCTTCTCATGGCGTTGATGAACGTGGATGACCTGGAGTTCTCAAAATACATAAAACCTCATGCTTGCCACATACCAAATGTTTGTTCTAACCCGAGGCTTGATCACGTACTTAAATTTCTGACCAATAGTCTCTGTTAATCTTGATATGTCAGCTTTTGTAAGGCCCCCTTTTCTGTAATTGCTAGAGAATTAGGCATAGGATTATATAAATAAATGTGTGTTAAATTTTGTGGTTTTGACAATAGACTAAAAGTTTGCTTTTTAGGAACAAAGTTCTGTTTTATTTAACTTAAGTAAAGCATTTTTAAAAAATTCGAAGTTGCTAAAAGTTGCAAAGTTAGATAGATATGGTAGCACAAACCTACAATTCCCACTCTTGTGAAATGAGGAAAGAGGGTCAAGGGTTGAAGGTCAGAGTGGTTTACATAGTTTCCTTTCACAAAACAAAATACATTGTAATACACAGCTATCTTGGCAGAAATTTAGTGAATATTTTCAGTATGTTACATTGGAAAAGAACCTAGGCCTTAAAAAAATAAGAGCCTCATTGAGATCTAATCCACATACTATAAAAGCAACCCCTAATAAAGCATATAATTAAGTCACTGGTTTTTAGTGTCTCATAAAGTTTTTAGATTATTTTCATTATGCCAAAAGAAACCCCAAACTCATTAGCAATCAGTCCTTATTCAGCTCAGGCACCCACTGACAAACCTTTAGTACCCATGAGTTTGCCTATTCCGGACAGTTTATATGAATGAAATCATATAATATATGGCCCCTTTTTGGTCTGGCCTCTCTGATTTAGCATGATATTGTGATGTTCTATATTGCCACATGTAATACATTATTCCATTTATTGGCTAAAAGAATACTAAACTATAGGGTGGTACCTATATCTTTCTGCACAGTTACAAATTCAAGAGAAAGGGAGTCTTGATATGCAAAACCAAATGATGGTGGCATTGTCTGAAAATTTTATTCTTATCTGTCCTCTGAAAATGTTTTTTCAGTATCTCCTATTGCTTTTTGACTATTGCTCATCACAGTATCACTGGCAGATTTTCAAAATAGTTTTTTTTCTATGGCATCACTATACTTGCCTTATGAATAAAGAATCCATTCTCTAGCAATGGCTATAGGAAAGCAGACTAAAATGCTTTTTCAGAATTAAAAAGCCAAATACTATCAAGTGTCCATGAAGCTAGAGCCTGTCTACAACTGGGATGCTTATTAGCTTGCTCATTATTTATTTGAAATATAAATATTGAAATACATATATAATTGTACATTATATATTGTATATATAAAATATATGCCTATTGAAATGCATGTATATAATTTGTTGTTTATTATTTTCTAATATAGTGACTAATTTTACTCATGTTTACTAAAAATAATTTTCAAAATACAAGAAAAATAATACTCAAATTTTAATATAGAAACAAAAGAATCTTGGTCTAGAATTTTAGATTAGTATATTAAACCACGCACACGCACACGCACACACACACACACAGAGGTCTTCTATTTTGTGATGGGGTTTAACAACAGGAAATCACTCACAGAGTTCCTCTCTGTCAAATGTCTGTCCACTTCCACCAAACAGTCCCTTGAGAAAGCCTCTATTTTGAGCTTCTGGTGTCTCTATGGGAGTAAACAAATCACCTAACATGTCCTGCACCAATGAAGAAAAGAGTATTAGAGCAACTAAGATGAAATTAATAGATGAAAAAATTAACACTATGATATATTACAGTACGTAATGAAGACAGCCTTTCCATATCTCTTCTGTGTGATTTTTGCTTACTATACAGTCTGATCTTAGCTCCTCAGAGTCATTAAATAAAGGAGAAAAGAGAAAAATAAAACAAAACAAACAAACAAACAAAAAACAAGGGCAGAAAAAAAAACTTTAGACAACCCAGTCATAAGCTGCATGGAACAGACACTGGGAAATCACCTAATGCCACTGTCCTATGTCACTACCAATTACTCTGGGACAAGGAGGGAGCAGATTCTGCACTCAACCATTCTGTTGATAACAGTAGAAAATTCAGCCCAACCATATCTCCAAACACAATTCCACTGATTAAGACAAGACCCAGGGAGCCAAATAATCCTGTGGGCATCATCTAATCACCTGACATGACCTGAAATTCATTGGAGATACTCAAGCTAACAGTGCGAACCGTGGCAAAAAGCAACACTTCCCTAACAAGATGAGACTATCCGGTGAGACTGTAAAGACAAACATGGGTGTGGCCATCAGAGTCTCGGACACTGAAATCCGCACAGGAAGCACATGAGCACCCAGCACATTAAGAAGACAGTAGCTGGCCAGCCGGAAATCACTCTGAGTGGGTATCCCATGTAGAAGTCTAGGGTGCCACTTATTTTCATTTTGTTTGAATTCATCCAGGAACTTGCTTTGTCCCTTGATTTAATTGAAAATTCTTAAAAATCATTCTTTTGAACTCCTTGTCTGGAATTTCACTGAACACATCTCACTAGACTACATTCCTGTGGAATTCTCCTGAAGGAGGTCTGACCCCTGCTGTCCCTTGGGCAGACATTCAACCCCGCAGGTAACCTGCTTGAACTCCACTGGCACTGCTTGCTGACAAATCTGCTTTAACAGATTGAGCTAGACACACAAGCCTCTGCTCTCCCATCAGCAGAGTCAGATCCTTAAGACAGCTGGAGGACAGGAGGAAAACAACATCCACCCCACAAGGAAGAGAGACTGACTGACACTGTAATATTGTTTCTATTTTAAGTTGTCTCATTGTTAAAAATCTTCACTCTTGCAGATTTCTTAATGGCTTTATTTAATTTGTATATTCCTTACATTTTATAATAGTTCTACTTTTTTTTTTACCTATTCCATTTAGTTCCCTGTACTATTTTTCTGACTTAAAGCTCATATACTTTCCCTCAATCCTATTTCACTTTCTCTTTCCCCAGTCCCTGCTCTTGACTTATTAATTGTAATTTTCTATAGATTTAATAATCTTTAAACTCTATTTATTCTACTATCCCATAATGCTGAATAGAGGGAAAACTCAAAGCATTTTCACTAAAGTCAGGAAAGAGATTCTGAATTCTTTACTCTTTCTTAATAGAGTGCTTAGAGTATTAGAACTGCAAGAGAATAGAAAAGAAAATGAAGACGTCAAATCATTCCCATTTTCAATACTATGATCCAATCCACAGGAGACCTAAATCTAAATGCTTTACCGAAAAACTTTTAGAAATAATAAACCATTACAGCCAAGTGGCATCATACAAAATAAAGACACAAAAATTAATAGCTTTCCTAAATGTCAATAATAAAAGTGCTAAGAAAACCCTGTCTCGAAAAACCAAAAAAAAAAAAAAAATGCTAAGAAAAAGAAAAGAGAAGGAAACAACCACTTTTCACAATAGGTTAAGAATGCCTTGGAATAAATCTAAGGATGTGAAAGACCTCTATAATGAAACATTTAAATCACTGGAGACAGAAATTGAAGAAGACACTCAATGACAGAGACTTTCCATGCTCATGGATCAGCAGAATATTGTGAAAATAGTTATATAAACAAAAAAAACCTACAGAGTCAATGCATTCTTCATCAATGACACTCTATAGAACAAGGGAAAAATGCAAAATCCATAGGAAGCAAGAAAGACCCCAAAGAGCCAAAGCAATTCTGAGCAAAAGGAACAATGCTGGCGGTTCTCACTGGCCCTGATGTTGGTTATAGTATAGAGCCACAGGAACACAACCGGAACTACACTAGCAGAAGGACAGGCATGGAGATCAACAGGACAGAACAGAGGGCCAGAAACAAACCCATGTGCTACACCGATAGGACTTTTTACAAAGAGGGCAAAAGCATTTTGGAGGAGAGACATTTTTTTCAACAAATGGTGCTGAGAATATTGAATAGCCTCCTATAGAAAATTGAAACTAGATTAATATCTTTCACCCTCATTAAAATCAATTAAAATTGATCAAATCTTAATGTGAGACCTGAAACTTTGACATTGTTATGAGAAAACATTTCAAGTTATAGGCATATGTAAGGACTTTCTGAAAAGAACGTAAATAATTAAGGAACTAAAAATTAAGAATTTGCAAATGAGATTTATTAAATTAGTGTGCTTCACAACAAAGAAAACACATGAATAGGTAGACTATAGAATGGAAAACATCTTTGCTAATTTATAGCAGATAAAAGATTAACATGTAGATTATATAAATAACTAAAACCCAAACAAACCAAAATACCAGAAAACCAAACAATTCAGTTAACAAATGGGCTAATGAAATAAACATAACAATCAAATGATAGAGGCAAATGCCCAACAGTCATATGGAAAAATATCCAACATGCTTAGCCATTAGGGAATGCAAGTTAAAACTATATCAAGATGCCACGTCACCCTAGTCAGAATGGCAACCATTAGGAAAATAAATAACCAATTCTGGCAAGGGAGGTGAAAAGGAAACTTGGATGCTGCTAGAGGGAATGAATGTAAATTGTCCATCTACTGTGGAAATCAGTATGCTCATGGAGAGTCCTTAACAAAACAAAACAAAACAAAACACCAAAAAAATAGGGGACTGAAAGATCGCTCAGTGGTTAAGAACACTGGCTGGTTGGGCGGTGATGACACACGCCTTTAATCCCAGCACTTGGGAGGCAGAGCCAGGAGGATCTCTGTGAGTTCCAGGCCAGCCTGGTCTACAGAGTGAGTTCCAGGAAAGGCACAAAGCTACACAGAGAAACCCTGTCTCGAAAAACAAACAAACAAAGAACAAACAAACAAAAAAAACACTGTCTGTTCTTCCAGAGGACCTGGGTTCAATCCCCAGCACCACATGGCAGCTCACGACTGCCTGTATAACTCTAGTTCCAAGGGATTCAATACTCTCACACAGAAATATATGCAGGTGAGACACCAGTGAAAATAAAATAAGAATAAATCTTAAAAAATTAAAAAAATAGAACTTATGACCCAGTATGACCTACCATGATCCAGCTATACTAGCCCTGAGTATACACCCAAAGGACTTTAACATATCACAGTGATACTGGCACATCTTCAATATTTTTTTTTGTAGCACTATTTGAACAGTCAAGTTACAGAATAAGTGCAGGTGTTCATTAACAGGAGAATGGATAAAGAAAATGTGCTATGTTCACACAGTTGAATTTTATTCAGTCATAAAGAATGAAATTATGGGGGCTGGGAAAATGGATCAGCAGTTAAGAACACTGACTGCCCTTTCAGAGGACCTGGGTTTGATTCCGAGCACCTCAGAGTTGTGTATCACTGTTGATCCAGATGACCTGAGGCTGTTTTCTGGCTACCATAGGCACCAGGCACACACATGATGCGATGCACAGATATACATGCAGGCAGAACAGCCACACACATGAAATAACAATGAATAAATCTTAAAAAGTTAAAAAAGAATGAAATTCTGTTTTCAGAAAAATGGATGCAAGTGGAGATTATTATGTCAAGTGAAATAAAACAGATTCAGAACAACAAATATTACATGCTCTCTTTCATTTGTGGGTCCTAGATTTTATATAAATACATAAAATTATACACACTCCATGTATGTAAAGCCTAGACTCTCTGGAGAACTAGAATAATAGAAAGGGTGAGAGGGGAGAAAGGGAAATGTATGCAAGAGTGAATATGATCAAAGTACATGGTACACTTGCATAAACATGTCATTATGAAAACCATCTGTATGTATAAGAAACCTATACCACTATGATTAAAACAAAACTCCCTGGAACAAAAGAAATACATTTCAGTTCACCTATTACTATAAATGATCACAATGATCATTTCTGATGATCATGATCCTCTTGTTACTTCTGTGTCTACCTAGAACCACACTAGACATTGGTGGGATTACATTGAAGATATATATTCAGAACATCTTCTAGGAAAGGTGGATTTATTGTCTGGCCCAATGATACTTTAACTTATAGATGTCGCTCTCATTCTTTCCCTCACTTAACAATCACATCTATTGATTTATTCAATATTTATTATTTTTTTAAAAATAAATTTATTCATTTACTTTACATCCTGGCTACAATTTTCCCTCCCTCCTCTGTTCCTAGCTCCTCCCTCAATCCCACATCTATATATTTTTATGAAGGAACTTTACCCACCTGAATATTATCACACATTTCTTGGCTATATGTTAACCGTTGAATTTCAGTAGGAGAGACGAGGTATAATGCCTGGCCTTCATTAGTAAAACAAAATGTCCGTGCTATCCTCATGTCTGTCAGTGGCAAATAATTTACGTCCAACATTGGGCGAAGACTAGGTAAGCTGAATAGAAAAAAATTAGTAAATCTACATTTCATATTTACATTGATATAAACATTTGTGATAAAAACTTAAGTCATTTTTATGTTTTTTTTATAGTTTCTTCAAAGATTAGTAATAAGTCGACTCTCATACATAATCAGATGTACACACACAAACATGAGCACAGTTCTATCTTAGCCATATAAATGTTTTTGCAAATGTCCTTAGAGGATAAATGTAGAGGCCCATGTCTCTCTAAGCACAACTTCTTAGCCTTTGAGCTTAGGTACCAACAGAGGCATGTGTGGGGTCAGTCTAGTGTTCCTGGGCATGGAGCGCTTTGTTCTCCATTCCTTAGTCCCTCTTCACAGGAAGTAAACTCTTCCTGTCTCTTGGGCATCTATATTGAATATGACTAGTAAATAAACATGGCGAAAGCTTAAGGAAGTGAGTATATAATAAGTAACAGATTAGCATTTATACATGAGAAAGACTACCTCTGTAGTACCTTCCTAACCTAATCCTGCAGCTATAATTTTGATAAGATAGTTCTAAGAACATCCTTTTGGATACTGTAGTAAGAGCCAATTTATAAACCACTACTGAAAAACAACTTCACAGTTTTTTCATCATTCCTTGAACATCAAGGGCAGAGAGAACTTCTTCGGTCTAATCTTCAGACTTGGGAACTATTCTAATTCTTTGTGTACACTGGTTTTAATTTGTCCTGGAATACAGATAGCATCCCAAAAGGTACTATTTTTCTTTAAAAAAAATTTTGTAACTACATTCTGAGACCCCAAATTTTACTATATAATATGGGGACTGAAATCTATATTTTTGGGATAAGTATTTATTAATATTCCAGCACCATACTGCCTGGTGTTTTAGCCACCAACTAGTCATATGACGACTGAGCAGATAGCTGATCCTTGGATAGTCAGAGCTGAGGTAAGCTGAAAGTGCAAATTGCACATTGAATTTCAAAGACTTAGTAATAAAAAATTATCTGCAATATGAAAGATATAATAATGGCTTAATATAAATTTTGAGTAACAAGCTTAGTGGAGGGAAGGATATCACACACACACACACCCGTAAATACAGGACCCCCATAATTGAAGCATGTCTATCGGTTAAATCATTTACAAACAGGATGGAGTGACCTTCATTGGAAATCTCTGAAAACAGTAAGAAAGAATCAGAAATATACGAGAATAAGCAAGCCCTGGTTGCCTTTCCCCCCAAAGTGTCTCCCTCATTAACTATAGGTCTCTTCATGTCTTCCCAGTTAGAAATAATGAAACGAAATACCATGAAAGTTTGGTCTTACTCTTGAGCAACTTTTCTACTTCTCTTTTTTCTATTTACAGCATTTTCTAAAAGAATAACCTAGAGTGGGGTCAGGGATCAGACAGTAAAGGTTTTAGGCTTTGGACCTGGAGCAGCTCCTTTGCAATTGTTCAGTTCTGCTTTGTAGTATAAAAGCAGCCATTGTCAACATACATATGATGGGTGTGGCTGTGCTACAAGATACCTTTCTTTCCAAACATTTGAATTCATACAATTTCCACCAACCATATTCTCTGACCTTTTCAACCATTTAAATCCTGGCTTGCAGGCTGTACACAATCAGACAAGGACTGATTTTGTCAACATTTGCCAACCTTGTACTGCACTACCCTCTCTATTCTCACCTTCCTGAAAGTTAGCTCTGACCTTCACCATGCTCCTAACACTTGCTTTCTTAAAGGGTTTCACACAGCCCAGGCTGGCCTCTGACTTACTATGTAGCAAAGGATTATCTTGAATTTTGGAACTTCCTGCCTTCACTGCTGGAACTCTAAGCATGCTCCAACATGAGCAGTTTATAGTTTTGTTCCTGGTATCCCAATTCTTTGACTTTTGACTGATGGTAGCTCTATTTGCTACCTCTTTTGTTGTGATACTCCTTTTTATTGCAGAAGGTTGTGCTGTTCTGGTTCTTATCTCTCTGATGACTTCACAACCTCCTTCTTTGGATAAATGTAGAGATTGGCCCCAAGCTTCTAGTCCTCGGGGCATCTACTTTTCATTTCTTTTTGTCTTTTTTTTTTTTCAGAGCTGAGGACCAAACCCAGGGCCTTGCTCTTGCTAGGCAAGCACTTTACCACTGAGCTAAATCCCCAACCCTGTACTTTTCATTTCTTTATACAGGATCTTTTGATGACTTTGTTTGCTGTTATCAGTTTTCTAGATGATGCTCAAGTCTGCATTTTCCTAAGAGACCAGAACTTAAATTGTCATTAAGCTTCTGCTGGATGGCTTGGGGGACCTCAAATATCAAACCTGTTTTTAATCCATTCTCACACTCCTTATTCTTGGTCTTTTCAAATTCCCCTCACTTTCTTGCCTGCTAATAGCTTTACCGTAACAGCAATTACCCAAATCCCGAGGTTTAGCAATCTTCTTTACCTTGTGTAACAAATCAGCTTTGCATGCAGCAAGTTGCCCTCCTCCTTCAGCCCTGCTCCCTCCTTGCATGTAGACAGCTTCCATTTCAGCCCAAGAGCCCATCCCAAGCTCTGTCTCCTTGACTGATTCCTAGTGCACACCCAGAGAAGGCTAACCACCTGCTTTAAAATCCCATTTCTTACAAATCTTGTATTTAGCTTATCACTCAAGGTCCTCAACTATTTATGTCAATTTACCTCTCCAAGTTACTTTTTTCTATTATGTATTTAGTGACTCAGTGCTTTTAAACTTTGGACTTAGTTTGTCAAACGAAAATTCAATTTACATTTCCTCTACTGGAATTTTCATTTTCTCTGTTTTTTAATTATTTGTGTATTATCATATGCTACTAATTTTATCTCCTTCTCATGTCTAGTGTAATATTTTACTGTTTAAATGATTTTAGAACGAAGTGAGGCATTGACAAGAATGACAATCACTTCTATAGTGTATTAAACAGATTTCATTTTCTTGAAGCTTATTCATCCAATGACTACTACCATAGCATTGTTGAATCCATAAACTCATTAGGTAATATTTTATGTTTCATAAGTTTTATATAATTTCACTGAGTAGAATGAACTTTCTAAGCATATATCTTATTTTTAATATGTCTGATGGTTTTTAGTGTACTGCTCAGTGCTGATTTCACTTTTTCCTGCTTTATGCCTTCATATAAATTATTTTACTTTAATTTCTAATATGTAAAATGGAGAACAAAATTAATACTTGCCAATGTCCTTAAAAAGCTATGAGAATCAATTGAAATTCTGTGTGTAAAGTTCTGATGTAACAGTGAAAGCAAGAGATAATTTTATTTCCATATAGCTTCTGAATCCAGTGCCTAACATATTTCTAATAATTGCTTGTTAAGTTAATGTATGAATGATTGGGAATCATTCTTTCCTTGGATTCTTTGATGTCAACTATATAATATATATTTATATATTATGTCATATTTTATATATATATATATATATATATATATATATATATATTATTCAGTATTTTTTGAGGAAACAAAACCAAAAGCAGAATCAGCCTTCTTCACACCCAAGCCACAAACCTCTCTCCATGTTGTTGAACAACAGAATATTCACAAACATAATGAAACATTGTATCAGGTTGCTTCTCCTCAATAGTACGAAAATACTTTTCATCACTATACCTTGCTAGCATTGTTAGGATTACCAGTCAACAATAACTTTGTCAAGTACCTCATTATCATGATATGCCCATTTGCACAAAAGCAGGCCAAGCAGGCACTGTTACACATGCCCACCACCTCTGCTTGCAATATGAAAGAGGTCTCTGTGATGTTGTGAACATAAAGGCAGGTCTGGGATGGCAGTGAGAAGACTTTGGCTTGTTTTTCTGAGCAGATTATTGTATACTGATGGTCGCCTGCTTCTTGGGGTGAAGTGGAGTAGTTCATAACCAGTTTCCTTTTCCACGTCTTTTCATTTTCATCCGTGTTGTTTGGATCCCTCCATACTTCATAGGGAGGCTGCATTAAACTGCCAGTTCTGTCCATGCAGGAAAATGTTAGCACAGCTCCTTTCAATGAGAGGAATGTACCTATAAAAACAATTCGCATCACTCACATATGAGGTCCTTTCTAAAGCATCTATTTATTACTCATCGATGGGCAATAAACATTTTACATCATGATAATTTATAGGAATAGTTTTGTAATATTGTAAAAATATACAAAAATCTGTATGTTTGTGAGTTAATCTGCTATAACAACTTGGGATTAATAAAATTTTAGGTCAGCTACAGCTGGTAGTTTCTACTACAGCAATTTGGCATAATGATATTAGAACTGAGGAACAAATACAATGTGATCAATTACAAAGTGTGGTGATTAGGGGTTCAACAAACTCAGCTTCAAATCTAATCCTCTCTCTAGCTTGCTTGAATCATGTTATTTATCATCTCTGGGATAAATTTCATTAATTGTTAACAAGGAAACTGCAACATATTAATACATGATCAGGACATGCAATAGTCCATTTGTTAGATTAGTATCACACAGGGACTTGCTCCAAGAGCAAAACCCAGACTATCTTAGACTTACTGAACCAGAGTATCTGGCATGGGGTCCTTTGAGCCATATCACAGCAATACCTTCAAATGATTCTGACACAAACAAAAGTGACAGTGTAGAAGAGACACAGAGTATATATATGCATTCCAACTCTCCAGGTCAATGACTGAATGCACTTCAAACTTCCATATTACTGGTAAGAATTTGTTTCTAGGACTAACAAGATTATCTATGTGAAAACATTTCTTAAGAAAAGGAAAGGGCTGGAGAGATGGCTCAGAGGTTGGGAGCACTGACTGCTCTTCCAGAGGTCCTGAGTTCAATTCCCAGCAACCATATAGTGGCTCACAACCATCTGTAATGAGATCTGGTGCCCTCTTCTGGCCTGCAGTCACATATGCTGTATACATAGTAAATAAATGAATTTAAAAAAAAAAAAAAAAAAAGAAAAGGAAAGTGAGGTTTTATTTTTATAGTACCCTTTTTAGTTACTTACTAGTAACCTCCTTACTAGTTCTGGGCTTTCTACTGACTGTTCAGACTTTCTACCGACTCAAGCTTTGGTGCACTGTGTAATTCCAATGTTGTATTCATTTCCTTTAAGGTATCCAGTTTGTTGGAATACCAGGGTAACACAACCATGACAAGGTACAACCTCACATCTGTTAGGATAACAATGATAGCATGGGGTGGAGAAACTAAAACATACACTGTTGGTATACCCGTACATGTGGCAGTGCAATGGACATGTGTCCAAGAATGGAGTCCTGTGAGAATTCTGAGCACTTGTGAGAAAACTCCAGGAAAACAAGACAAGAGTCATGTGACCTCAGTTTCTTCAAAACATGGAATTGTTCTTGGAATGTATTTTTGCCTCTCCTGAATATAGCAGATAGGAGTGAGTTTACTTCAGATTATTCATTACAGCTGGCTATTGTTATTTGTTTATATGTCTCTATGGAAAAACATGTTTTTGCCATGTACAGTAGTTTGTCCTTGTGATTGTATACAGCTTGAACTCATGAGAACTTTATTCAGGTGACCTCTCTTAACCCTCAGGGTATAAAGTGTCTGATGCTCTGAATAAAGTTGGCTATTGCATGAGACTTGAGTCTGCCTCAGTTTTAGGCTTCATTCTTCCAGGTTCCACTTCCAATTAGAGCAGTAAACAGACATGGAAATGGTGTGGCGATTTTCCCAAACAAATTAAAAAGGGAACTAGTATATAATCCATCAATACAGCTTTGGGGTTGTATCCCAGGACTGTGAGGACATGCATACTCCTATGCAGCGCTATTCACACTAGTGAAGATGTGGAAACAATCTAAGTCTCCAGCAGATGAATGGATAAAAATGTGATCTATAGATGTAGTTGCAACATTGTTCAATCTTAAAAGCAAGCAGCTCTCTAATGTTCAAAGACATTGTGGGTATTACATTTAGTGAAATAAGCCAAGTCAGTCACAAAAGGACAAATACTGCATGATTTTTACTAATATGAGACATTTAAAACAGTTAAACTCATATATGCTAAGAATAAACTGATGGTATCCATGAATGGGAGGAAGGTTAAGGATGAGTTGCTAATAAACCAATACAACATTTAAATGATGTAAGGTAAGTTGTAGAGATATGCTGTGCAGTACTATATTATAGATAATAATACCATGGGGGTTTCCATAACTTGAATGGGGTCAGTGGGTACAGAACGGACACTGGATATGGCAAATAGATGAGAACCAGAACAACAATCGCAGAGTCAATCAATGAGCTGTGAGGAGGAAAAGTACAGTTTCCATTCTCAGTTGGAACTTTCTGTCATCTTTTTTGCTTATGAAATTCTACTCTTTTCCTTTTCTCTGCTATAAATTTGGCTTCCAGTTACTCTTTTTTCCTTTCAATTATGACTTATAAAGCAAACATGAACCTAGTATCATAGTTTTCTTCTTTTTTTTTTTTTTTTTGGTTTTTCGAGACAGGGTTTCTCTGTGTAGCTTTGCGCCTTTCCTGGAACTCGCTTTGGAGACCAGGCTGGCCTCGAACTCACAGAGATCCGCCTGGCTCTGCCTCCCGAGTGCTGGGATTAAAGGCGTGCGCCACCACCACCCGACTGTTTTCTTCTTTTTAATTAATGAATTTTGAAGAGCAGTGTCATGTTTGCAGAAAATTGGGCAGATCATATATAGTGCCCATATATCTCATCCTTCATTTCTCTTATCATTAACATCTTGTATTAATAGGCTATATTTGTTATAGCTGATTAACTGATGTTGGCACATCAAGGATAGCTAATATTCTAAAATAATAGTAGGATACTAACTTGGAAAATTAGAGAAGACAGAGATCCTATTGGATCATGTGTACTAGATAAGGGGAAACCTTGCAAACTAGATGCCAAAAGTCCTATCTGTATTTATTTCTATTTTGCCATCATTTTATAGTTTGCTTAACAATGGCAGGATCTCTCTATAAAGTTGAGAGATGGTGTGTTAGTTCAGGAAATTATTTCTAATTAGAAAAGCATATCTGCTGTAATTTCAGATCTGAAAATTGTCTTCTAACTATGGCTTTAGGCTTATGTGACAGGGAAATTTGATCTAACCTCTGAACTTAGGAGGAATGCTGAAGAGGACAAAAAAGGCCTTGTGCACACAGATAAGCACTGGAGAAGCCAGGAGAGTTAAACACACAGCTCACCTCTTCAATGGAATGAGGTGCATAGGGGCTCTTCCTGGAATGCCAGGGATGACGTAGTTTTACAACTTGGCGATCCTTTGCTGTGTGATGAGATAGGCTCTGCCTGTACCTCCCAGAATGTTTGTTTTTACTTATTCCAGACCCTTCCCCCTTAAAACCTTGAGTATTACTTCTAGGCCCTGATACCCATTCTAATGAGTGATGTCACGTATATTTACAACAATGTAAGTGACTTTTATGTTACCTTAGGGCCAAGCCAATCTTGACACCCACAGGCATTATGGTTACCTCAGTCACTCCCTTATCTTGAGCACTGTCTCTAAGTCAATGAAAAACCATCTATGGACGAAGCCATATGTACTTGGCAAAGAGCTTCAACGTAAACATGCCTTAAATTGTTGTGCACTTGGGGCTGAGTTAATTGGTATCTGAATACTTTTTTTCCCAAAATTGTGTTTACTGAGGTAAAATAATGACTAAATATAAATAAAACAATGCTAAAGTAAAATAATCTGGGCCAAACTCTTGAAGTCCTGGTCCAGCATCGGTTATAACAGAAGCGGGCCAAGTTTCATTCTTAACCTCATCCTGATCACGTTTTCCCTGCCTGCTGTGAAACCTGCAGGGGAACCCCACAGAATGCCTGGCACATATTGGATGTCCAATATATGTAATGATTAAGTAAAAGAACAGATTTAAGTTGATACTTAATCATTCATTCTGACCTTACTGATCTGACTCTAACTTCAGCAGAATTAAAAAAAAAACATATTTTCTTATTATTAGGAATGCATTAAAATGTATTTTTCTCTATGCCATATAGGCTTAAAATAAAGTATTTGTTCTTAATATCAGCTTAAAAAAAAGCATTTGTTCTTAGTAGTTTAGAGATAAGGGGTTTTCTGAATTTGCCACACTCACAGAGCAGACTATTCTGCCTGCCATTTATCTATATGTATGCAACACAAGTTAATACAAAAACCCAATTCTCTCTAACCTGTCGTGCTATATGGACTGTTTAAAAATAAAATATCTTACCCTATGTATTTATAAAATTCTTTTTTAGTTTAATATACCTAAAACATTTATTATATATGTATGAAAGAGAATAAAATTAATAGTTATAATCTGTTAAAATATTCAAAGGAATGTCAAGGGAAATCACACATACCTTTTTTTTTTTAAAAAAAAAGAAAAAAGATAATTCAGGTAGAGTAGAACATGCACCTAAGCTGAATTCTTGAGGTTCTATCATGAAAGGAAAGAAAGACTTTAGATATCCACCTTAGGTAAGAGTACTTCTACTTTAATGATTTTGATTTCTTCAAGAAGGATGTAAAAATACTCATAGGTTCTGGCTTGGCGTACAACTTTGGAAAATGCTTCAAGCTGTGCAGTAACGTTTATCCCACCACTTTAAAGGAGCTGGATTCTCACATAGAAACGCCTCAACTCTACTCTCACCCTGAGAACTGGTAAGTAACAGTACGGTAAGTGTTGGAAGAATATTTGAGTTATGAATTCAAATTGTCCATATGATATATGAGGCTTATACTCCTCACCTTTGTCTGAAGTAATGCATATGATCAATTCTTAGTCTCTGAAGATGAATAAGTAGTCACGAGGGAATGAGTGAATAAAAACTCTTACCGCTTGGCAACACCATCACCGGCTCTGTAAACCTCTGTTCGTCTGATGATGGTAGGTTCAGGGAGATGAGTAATACCATTCCCAGACTCGTTCCAACAAACAGACAAGGGGAAACAGTAGAGTCATTCTTCCGTGCGAAGGATTCCATGAAGTATAAAGCTGTAACGGCTTCTTTGGAGTCTTTGTCAATACTGGAGATGCTAGAGCTCCTGGAGCGGTTATAGGAATTCTCTCTGGCTTCTATGAGCATTTAAAAAGCAAAATTAAGCATTAGTGAATCTATAAAACAAATCAAATTTCATACCTGAAAACCATAATTAGGAGAGAAAGAAAAGTTGTATTCTTTGTTTACTGGCATGAAGGGCATTTTATCCAGGGTGCCAGTTCATTTTGAAGGAGGAGAATCTGAAGTCTATTTGTGTTATCTATCATAAATTTAGGAAAAGTTAAAACCAAAACTCCAGTCTCCTGAGTTCTAGCACACCATTTTTCTTTTCTACATTTCCTGAAAGATCGGTTAAAATTCTTATCAGGGTGGAAATAAAACCTTAAATCTAAATAGTCAAGATTACAACATTTTTTGATATCACTTAATTGTTTTTTCCTTCCCATCTTTTGAACATAGAAACCATACTAATGATTCCGTGGCAATTCACACTTACCAGCAGTATCATGGTTACCCACATGAAAGGACCAATCTAGATCATAAACATTCTGTGACAAGCATACTGTATACCCTATGCAATTGAAGCTATAAAAATTGGAGTTTTAACTTCAATACAAAAATGTGAATGTGATTTATGTAAACCTGTTTTGAGCTACCTGCCTACCATCCAAATCCAGGTCTAACTTTGCCAAGCACAAAATAGACTGTGCCATCCCATTAACGCTGGCTTTCCTGAGAAGGCTTCAGCCTGCTTAGAAAAGAAACAGCAGCAGCATGGTTTTGGGAGCTCTTGCTTTCTCAACACCTGCACATGTGCACCCTCCGAGCATCAATTCATCTGTCTGTGAAACAGTAATACACGGGTTGGAATTGCTCCAGCACAGGCTCCTAGTGTTTCTTTCTACTGTCTCCACTCACCTTTTCCTCTTGATAGATCTGAGTGTGTCTTGATAATTTTCATAGATGAAATGTGAGGTCTTCAAAATATATTTAGAAGGAACAGAATGCAATATTTCTAATTTCCCCTTATATCCTTACCAAATTTATAAAAAATAGCTTACCAAATATAGGGATAAGACAGAAGTTAGAGTATCATCTGTATACTATACAAATTTAAAGACAGAATTATAACTAAACTGTTTTCTACCACAAACTAGAGGCAGAAATATCTACAACTCAAAAATCTGCAGCATTCATTTCAGTGATTATTCTTTCTTTTAGAACTCTTACATGGTGCTCCTATTGCAACATTTGTAGTTGATCTACGTCTCCAAAACCTCACTCATGATTTATTACCATTCAACACTGATACTCACAAACACCTATTAGAAATATAATGTAGTTATTTCCATGTCTACTGACCAGTTTTAGTATGGCATAATGCTAAACAACAACTGAGTAATGAATTCATTAAAAACATTTTTGAAGAACAATAGTAGATTGTTGTTTGAAAATTTAAAGGCTAGTATAGAGTTACTATAGCCAAATCTTTCTATTATTTCCCCCCTTCTCCTAGAATCTTTATTACCAAGATCATAAAAGGAAACTTAAAAGGTTCTGTTTCCTTTCCTTCTCTAAACATTCTTGACTTTTCCCTCTTTCATTTGACTCTCCATCCTCATACTTATTTTATAAAAAAGGAAACAATCCTTCCTTTAACAATTTACAAAGATTATAAACTTTATTTATTTATGTATTTATTATTTATTAATTTTTGTGGCACTGGGGATATATTCTGGACCTCATGCAGACTGGGTATGTGCTCAGCCACTGAATTATATCCCCAGACCCTTTCATACTTTATTCTTTGAGACAGGGTCTTGGTAGATGGTCCAGACTGGCCTTGAGCCCCCTCTGTAACCCAGGCATGTCTTGAAGTTGCAATCCTCCTGCCTCAGCCTCCCCAGCAGCTGGGATTACAGGCCTGTGCCACCAGACCCGGCTAAGAGTCTAAACTTTAAAATTTAAAAATGTGTCTTTTTAAACTTGGTTATATTCATTTAACAGTAGAGGGAATTAAGGTTGCAGTTACAGATTATCTCCTCTTGTACAGCCTAGCTATAGTGGAATCATTTTTTTCTTTGTTTAGAGATAAGGAAGGAGGTGGAGTGGGGAATAGAATTGGAGTTATGGCCACAGTCCAACAGGAGTTCAGTTTTTCAGTGTCATGTAGTTTTTTTTTTTAATCATCTTTTAAATGTAACTTTCATTTCTTATCTCCCACACCTGTTACCATGATAAAGCAAGTTTTTAACTGTACTCACAAAAATTGACATGTGTATCCTACCTTCAGTTGTAACTGGTAAAGAAATCTCCATGCAAGCAGCTGACTGTGCCTTTCTAAATGGTGGTCTTCCAGGACCCCAGCGATTTACTTTTGAAACGTCAGCACTGGAAAGACGTTTTCCAGAACTGCAACTCTGAGAGGTTGGACTTGTGCAGTGTCCATTTACATGGTCTGTACCAAGAGGAAGAAGGCAGAATAAATATCATAATTAACTCTTCAGATGAGGAAATCCAAAGGCATAGGTTAAAAAATGGAGGAACAAGAATTCCTCTTCTTCCAACCCATTTGCATATGACTAGTTTCTTGTTATTTTAAGATTCAGTTACAATTTCAGGTTATAAAAAAAAATCAAAATACTTATGCATAGGACACGTTTTCATAATTTGTTTATCATTGCTTGAAATATGCTGTATATCCCTACTGTGTATTTAATATGTTGTTGAATGGCAGTATGAAATAAGTTTTAATATTATATTTTTGTCACATTATTTGAACAGATCCAATTTATGTAAGTTTTGGAAGTCCGTCCTTTACTTGGAGTTTCAGATATAGAACAACAGCATCATACTATGCACTTGAGAACAGGACTTAAGGACACTGGTTTGAAGTCAGGATGCCTTCATGCAAATTCCAGTTCTGACACTAATTAGTTCTGCTCTACTGATGTCTTCATACTGTGGTTTCTTCTGTAAATCTAGAATATTATTACCTATTTCATGCAGTTTCTGTAATTTTTTGGAATACATGTCCTACACAGAGGGCTGCAATAGACAGTGAATAAAATTATTACTTGTTTCAGAGCATAAAATTATTTATATATAAAATAGTCATCTAATGTCTGTGAAAGTTAGGGTATCACTTTAAAAACTTGGGGCTAGAGTAGACCTGAATGGTAAGAAGCTTACTTAGCATGGGCAGATTTTCTTATTTTGCTTAAAGTTAATAAATTGCACTTGAAATATCATTCATAGTTCTGCAATATAAAGAATACATTATGGAGCATTCTGCTCTGGCCATCCTTGAGGTAGAGCTACATGGAAATGCCTACAGGCAATGTTGAACATGTGGAACTGACGATCCGTTATAGCCTTTCTGTATTGCACAGTTTTAAAGCTAAAATTGCATATTTCCTGGGTCACTTTGCAGCTACTTAAGGGCAGGAATTATTTCTCACCATTTTAGTGTACTAGAATTTTTCCTATTAATTTTTAAAATAAAAGTTAACATTTATTAATATTTAAATGGTGGGCATTGTGTGTATATGTGTGTGTATTATCTCATTTAATTTTCAAATAATCCTGTAAGATAATTTATTATTATTATGACATTATAAATGAGAAAAATGAACATAAAAATGAGATTTCCCATCAGACAAGAATCTAAACTGATTTTTCAATTGATATATATGCTTAAACACTGGATTATAGAGTTAGCTAAAATATTTGAGAGTGATACTTTTGAGAATATATGTAGTAGTGCTTGAAAAGCTGATGAAGTCCATTGAAATTTAGTCACCTTGGAATCAAAGCATTTTTCATCTTGAATAGAAATTCAGAAATCTCAGCTAAAAGGCAGAAGTAACGAAGAGCCAGACACTGAAGAGGAAGTCAAGAGTTCTGTTCTTCCTTCTCCATCATAAAAAGGAGAAACAATAAGGGCAACAGTTGGCACCACAAACCCAGTGAGTTGGGAAACTGCAATGGCAACTGCAAGCCGGGTGGTGGTGGCACACGTCTTTAATCCTAGCACTTGGAAGGCAGAGGCAGGCGGATCTCTGTGAGTTTGAGGCCAGCCTGGTCTACAGAGCAAGTTCCAGGACAGGCTCCAAAAGCTACAGAGAGAAACCCTGTCTCAAAAAAAATGGCAACTGCTTTAGATATATAATTTACAACAATACCCCCATCTTTATACAGTATCAGAAAAACCCTGCTCTCTCCACAGACATGGGACCTTGCTTTAGGGCCTATGGCTTATCCACCATGCCCAGCATACTTTCTCTTTTTTAATCCATGATAGATGGTCTACATAGATAAGAATTGATATAAAAGAGGAAAAAATTAGACATAGCTCAGAGAGTCAACTTAGAAATTTATGTTAATAAAATGGTGTTAAATCAAAAGAAAAGCAAATCTAGCTATCAACAAAGTCATTCACTGTCACATTGTTCACTACACAGGCTAACCCAGAACCAGTTTCTATCTGGCTTTGCTTGGCTTCTTTCACTCATCATGGTTAGTCAAGGTTCTTTCTTGTTGTGTGTATCAAACAGTTATTTATTTTCATTTCTGGGGAATATTCCATTCTCTGGGTATGCCACTATTTGTTTAATTATTTATCCTTTAATGAATATTTTGGATTTTCCCAGTTTTTAATTATCTTTTAAAGAGACTTTAAAATGTTAATATTTTGAACTTACTAGAATTTACCATTTTTAGTCTTCTTCATTTTCTGGATATGTTGAGATTTCTCTTGGTATTGTTTTCCTTTTTCTGACATCTGGGTGTTTAAGTGTTGGATTCTTTCAGGTAGTGGTGTGTGTGTGTGTGTGTGTGTGTGTGTGTGTGTGTGTGTGTGTGTGTGTGTGTGTTGCTCAGGCTGTCCTCAAGCTTGTGGTATTTTTGCTTTCCTTTCCAATTTTTGGGAATGTTATAGACATGTGCCACCATACATGACTTTAGATTTTCTATACCCAACAAAAGCATTTATTTCACTTTCATTTTGAACAATATTCCTATTGGTTATAAAATTATAGGTTGAATGTTTTCCCTTCAGTAACTTGAACATACTCTTCTACTGTCTCCCAGCTTTCATTTTCTGTGGAAAAATCTGCTTTATTCTGGTTTTTGCTTCTTGACATATGAAAATGTCATCTCCCACACCTCTGGCTAATTGGATTTTAAAGAATTTCAATTATGATGCACTTCATACAATTTTCTCTCTATTTCTCATGCTGGGGTTTATTATGCTTCTTGAAACTGTGGATTTTTATTGTTTATCAAATTAGGAAATTGTTCAGCATTATTTATTCAAACGTTATTTAGTGCCCCCTACTCATTCTTTTCTCTTCTTCTAGAATTCTTACAGCATATGCATTAGGTGGCACAGAGTTTCATTCTAAACAGTAAATTTTTGAGTTTGTTAATGCTGTCCTTATCAGTATCAGTTCTTTTTATTAAGCCCATTTAGTGCATTTATCATCTCAAAGAAAATATTTTTTATCTCTAAAATTTGATTTAGATCTTTTTATAATTTTATGTTTCCTTTTGACATCTCTAGACCTTTATCTCCCTCTGCAGTATATTTAAATAGAAGTTCACTAATCCCAGTCTACCTGTAATTTCTATGTCAGTTTCTATTGATTAATATTTTCTCTTCTTCATAGGTTCTAGACACTATTACATATTGGTCTTTAAAATTTTCCAGTGTTCTTTAAAGATGCTTCAGACTTTTTCCAGTAAATTTTTTTAGAAAGATATTTTTACTTTTATTTTAAAAGAATTCTATATCCATATTAACTTTTATAAAGTGTTCAGAATAGCATATGGGCAAGTGAAGTGAATGACAATGATATAAGGAATAGCTGTTATATGACACAGCAACTGTAAAGCAGTATGGTGCTAGCTAAAAGAGAATTTGGATTAGTTGTAAAGGTATATCATAAATTTTAAGGAAACTACTGAAAAAGTAAAAAAAATGTAGTACAATTGAACCATTAGCATAAAAGAGTGAAAAGAGAAAATGGTTGATTCTCGCATTGCTCTCCTTGCCTCCCACCTCTAAGCTGTGCAGCCTAGAGAAAGAAGCTATCTCCTCTAGGGTAGGAGACAAAATTAAGCCAAGGCCTTAGATTTGAATCCTAGTCCCAGGTCTGCAATGGAGAAATCCAATACTGAGCAAACTATTGCTCAACCACAGAACCAGACAAAACTTGTAGACTGAACAACTAATACTGTATTAGAAAATGGCTATCTTCCTCTACCACCTTCCTTCAACTTGCAACACAGACTGGAAAGCAGGTCTCCATCCACAGAGACAAAAGTAGCACAGGGCTTTGTTTAGAACCCAGTGCCACGCTAGGTATGCAATTCAGTATCTGGTAAGTGTAAAAGACCTGTAGGCAGATTAGAGCTCACAAACCAAGCTTCTAGACAACCATAAGGCAAAGACTGATGGGACAAACTGTGATTTTACTCTGTCATTTCCAGCCTTAGAATGAGCCAAGGACACCCACCTTTCCCCTGAGATTGCAGACTCAACAGATAGGAGACTCAGGTGTAATCCAGTTTAACATCAGTGTAAGTTGTCTTTGGGGCTGTCCTCACCATCCCTAAACTGGGAGAACTCAGCTATTGGCAGGTGCTCATAAACACAGCTCTAACTGCCTTGGTATTGGGCAAACACCTATACTCCATTAGGAAAGACTCGTATTTCACCCTCTATCACTGCCAGGCAGGGCATGGTCTTGGTGGACCCCTGAGACTGTACAGGTTCTTATGATGACAATATTCTGTTATGACTCATTTAGCATCAGGATAGATAGCTAAGGGATTCTTTTCACATCATTACTTCAACCTTGGGCAGCATTGTATGGTAGAAGACTCCATTCACTGGTGGGTAGGGCAAGGTAATAGGGTTAAGACTGCCATCAAGTTGGTGCTACACCAATAAAACAGAATTGTTAGCTGATTCTAACAGTTTTGTTCCTTAGTACTGTCTGCAGATTGGAATTTCTGAAATGACTCCAGGGCTAGAGGAAAGTAAGCAGCCATTGTGTGTCTGCTTTTCATTCCAGCCAGCAGCACCCATGATTATTTGCAGTGGTCTTTGCCCACAAGTCTACCTCAGCAATGGGTAATATGTTGGTTAGTTTTCTGTTAACCCGACACAAGCCCTGGTCACCTAGGAAGAGGAGACTTCAACTGAGTAAATGCTGTGGGCATGCTATGGCACAGAAACCTGGTGTTGATCCATGTATGGCAACTGAGCATAGCCAGGCAGAAGCTGAAGTGCCTGACCTTAGACATTAATTGTGTAGAGAAGTCTTTGGGCCTATCATGACCCCATGGAGACATTTGTTGGGCTAGGTTACTCTTCCTAGGTGTTTTTCTCTTACATTCTGAACAATACACCAAGGTGTATTTGGGGACAAACCTTGGTGTTTGGGCTGGCCA